TTGGAGCTTGAAAGAAGAGTGTCAACCTATCGACTGCTACCCCAGGGGAGTTTGTTCCAATTTTCTCTATATTTGCATTTTTATTTTTGCATAGTATGCAATGGGGGCATTGCATAAAATAAGTGTGGGGTAGGGGGTTAGTCACATATTAGAAAATTTAGAATCTTAATTTAGGCTAATTTTAAAAAATTGTTGCATACCAAAAATATGACTTAGGGATTTAATTTAGAAAATTTTGGTAAACAAAATTAGGATTCCATGTTAGAATTATATTTGATGATTGCATGAAAACCCAAATGTTTAGTTGAGCCTATATACGTTCTAGTGCATTTGTGGCTTCCTTATTCCAGTGAAATCATGAGACAAAAACATGACCTTGCTCAGCCTAAGGGATGCAATACGTTTAGCAGCCTAAACCTGAAATGTATCCAGGAAAATTGTTATCGTTAGCCAATAAAGGTTGAGATTGAGCGCCCCTGCTTAAGCATGTAGGGTTTTGAGTGAAAAAAGTGAGGAATACATGTAAAAAATAAAAGAGAGAATTACTAGAAAAGTTGTAAGAATTTTGGAGCAAATAAAGTGAAGATCTAAAGATCAAAATTCCAAGAAATCCAAAAAGTTGAAGATACCAAAACTCAATCAATACAAGGTGGTGAATTCAAAAAGATCAAAGATCAAGTTATCAAGGAAGTGAAGAATTCAAAAGAGCTCCATAGTGGTATCGAAAAGTTGTAATCTGAGATTATGTATACTTGGGTTGCTCAATTTAAAATACCTTGGGGGTAAGAGGTTTTCTGAGGATGGATTCGGAGGGTTGCATAAAATGAGCATAGTTCGGGGTGATTGGGAGAATGTTTACGAGGATTGTGAGTATTTGGAGTATGGGGGGTCCTTAGGAAAAATTTTAGACACAAATGCATGCGTTGCGGTCTTGGCATAATGGTTGGGTTAAATTGGAGTTGTCATACATAATTCTAATGTCTTAAAATTCAGTTTTGCTTGGGGGCAAGAAAAAGTCATGTATGGGGTATTTTGATATGTGCATATTTAGTTTGTATTAAGTATAGATTTTTATTCATTTATTAGCTAAATTATTGCATTTCATGGACAAAAGGTACTTAAAAGTGTTTGATTTGTATTTTCAGTCCAAAAATGAAGCTCGGAAGCAAAAGGAAGCAGGTTAGGAGCTCGGGAATTGGATAAAGAAGAAAAACACCAAAAATAGCACCTACTCGGTGAGTAGGATCTACTACTCGCCGAGTCCAAGTGAGGATAATGACTCGGGAACCCAGATGCTTATCGCATTTGGATATTGTGAGACGGACTCGACGAGTCGCCACCTGACTCGACGAGTCGATACGCAAATATATAGATAACTTCTTAGATTGAGGAAAAAAACTTCTGGGATAATTAGCTGCGATTCAGAGGCCAGAGAAACCTTAGAAGACGAAGATAGAAGCTACAATTCAATCCCGAAGGAGATTTGAGGCAAATTCCATCATTATACTTAATCTTTTGGTTTCCACTATGGTTAGACAATTAGAATTCGTTTTTGTGCTGTTATTTACTTCAATCATGAGCTAAAACTCTTAAACTTCTGTTTGGGGATACAAAATTGAGACTATGGTTTGATTATTGGTAGGATTAATTCAATATTGGTGATTTATTTGTTATTTAGCTTGCTTAAGAACCTTGTGTGTGAATGATAATTAATTTTCTGTTAATAGGAAGATAATTAAATAGCATGAACATCGTTTGATTATCAACCTCATATATCTTGTGACTACTTTGTTATATGTCTAGGACTAATGAACATGAAACTAGGATTAATAAGAAAATTAAGTAAATTTATGTGCAAGCTTGTGTGATGACCATCAACAAGAAGTTAATTAAAACCAAATTGATTAACTATTGTGAGTCTAAAGTAATCCGAATAATTAATCTAGTAAACTAAATTGAATTAGACAACTGATCACTGTTTAAGTTAGTTTATTTGCTAAGGATTAGTGTAGTGAACGCGAACCTAATCACTTAAATCGGTAACCAACAAAAGAATTAATCCATTGCACTATTACCTTGAAATCAACCATAGGATCAATTGAGTTGAACTAAACAGAAGTTCCTTTGTATTATTGAATCTAGTTAATTCTTTGTTTTTCTAGTTTTTAGATTAAGTAATAGTTAGTAAGTTTCTAGTCTTGTAAAACTAGAGAAAACACTCTACTTATTAATTAATTTAGATAGGATTAGTTTTTATTTTTAATTTGCCATTCCCTGTGTTCGATACCCTACTTGCTTAAACTATTCCACAATTGATAAGTACACTGCCTTTGTGTGTTTATTTTACAACTAAAAGTAGGATTAAAACTAAGTGAGTTTACGCACATCAGTGGGGTGTCAACCCCATATAGATTTATACTCAAATTTTATGTGATTTTCTAAAAACAGTACAGAAAAGTTAAAAGTAGTTAAACAACTCTCAATTTATTTACGCTTTGTAACATGTTGAGCAAAGTGTATATCAATAAAAATTCTATGTGTTGAATGTATTTCTTGTTAGTTTAATATCACAAATAGAAATACTCATTCATGATAAGATGTCCATTTACTACGAACATATGTAATAAACTATACTAGATATAGTTTATGTTTCATTTACCCTACGAAAAGTTCCATTTACATTACAAAAAGGATTTTCATTAAAACTTCACGTAAACTCATTATCGTAAATTCTGAGACGCTACTTCATTGTACTCTTAGAGTACTGGTTAAATTCTTGTAGTTATATTCAGAGTCTCTTGCAGGGAGGGCATGATAGTTGTGTATAGATCTATATTGGGATTGACAACCCACATCCTAGCTGCTTGCAACAGCCCGAATGGCAGGTCGGCGGTGACAAATGTCATAACATTCCGGTGCCTGAAGAATGATGTAACAGGTCTACTGTGTCATAGTATGGTTATAACGACTTACATAGGGAGAAAATGAAACATATAGCTTACGGGGAATCTTCATCTGAAAAAGGGTTTTATGTCGATTTAAAAACCACCTTTACTACTATAAGTATGGGAATTTACTTGTACATTTTGGTCTTTGGGCATTAAAACTACAAATCATTTCATAAGGAAAATATTGGATTTTCGTGAAACATACTCATTCATTTACAAAGAAAGGTTTTCAATCGTACATACAAAAAGCTTTTGCACTCACAAACTTAACTGTTGACACTCTTTGGAAAATTACTTTTATTCTCAGGAAATTAATGGCTAAAGTTAACCGCATGCATTAAGGATGAAATGCTTCGGTGTTTGACAAATTATTATTTTTAATGTCATATTGTAATGGATTTTGAAACATGTAACACTTGAAACTATGTAACTTTTTTCGATTATATTTATGTTTGAATGTGATTGTTTATTCCCATGTTTAGAATTTGATTTTTTTCAACACGGATATACTTCCGTGAGCATAAGCGGGACAACATTGGTAAGGTCAAATATGGAAAATCTACAAGATCCATAACTGTGACGTGCACTTAGTCTTAATTGATAATTGAAGGGTAATTAAGGAAAGTATTTGTACCAACATTCCAAATAAAAAATTAAAAAGCAATAAAAATTACATAAATACCCTTTTCTATAACAACCTTTCAACATATAACATACAAATCAATAGAAATTACATAAATACCCCTCCTCTATACATTACACCCACACTAATCCACATCCATAGTCTTTGATGCACTGCTACCTTCACCTTTAAGTTTTTTTCCTAACTTCATTTTAAGCATTATTTCAGACTTCTTCATCTTCCTTGGTTGTTCCACTTTACCAAACTATAGCTCTTGCTCATTAACCCTAACATCTTGATCAAAATCATAACCCATAACAACATCCACCCCCAGCCCTTTCCATTTTTTACTGACTCTTGTGTTTTTATAACACATTGTCTTTTCCTAACATTAGTTTTAGGAGGCCTTTTGACTTGAGGTCAAGTGCTCTTGTCGTATCTTCTCTGTTTGCATATACCACAAGACCTTTCTGAACCGTCTCAATTTATCTTTATAGTAGGTCTGCTAGGCATGCTTCATTTAATTCGGGGAAAAGGAAGGATGTTTTCTTTAGGAGGCCACATGTTCATTCTATTCATACAAGTATGGGGTATTTGTAAGTATTCTTATATAATGTTGTAAAGTACATTTGCTCGACATGTGCTTGATAATGTGTAGTGTTTAAGAATGATAATGTTGGAACTGAGTGCACACAACCATACCCATTTAATTGCCACATATTACATGTATATTCCCTATTCTGGACATCAACGACATAAGACTGATCTAAGTTACTTGTTTCAAACTTCATCACCACACAATAAATGACTTGCCAACACCTCAATTTAGTAACAGCAATTAATTACTACTCAAACTTATGAAATTAGTCATTGAATGGTATAGTGACATACCTTTGCTTGATTTTTAACAAATTCAAATTATCCCTGTTTTCTGGACATACATTTAAACGATCTCATCCTTATCCCTTATGTTTCATTTTAACCATCATTTGCATGACATACATACAAATATCCTCTAACATACTGATAATGGGTTTCTTCCTAGCATCCATTATAACACTACTGAAGCTTTATGAGTAAAAACTCTCCACAATTTTACAAGCATGGTGAACTTTGAAGAAAGCCAAAGACCATGTCTTAGGATCCCTCTCCATAAGATACATAAGGGCAGCATGATTTAGTTCTTGAATCTCCTTCATGATTTCATTGAAATGTTTAACATTTGTTTCTTTACTTGCCCTCTATAAAATATTCTCGAATGATGCTCCAAGAAATTTCTTTCTAAAGTTAGCATAAATATGCCTTGCACATTGTCTAGGTTTTATTGTTGGTAGTACCTCTTTTACTGCCTTAACCAATCCCTACATATGTTGAATCATATAAAAATTTAGAGTGACATACCATATATTGTAATACATCAAGAAAAAGTATCATACCTTGTGTTGCTTAGGTATTAGCACAACCCCAAATCCTTGACATTGAAGGTTCAAGTATTCAGTAAGATTATCAATAAACCACTTCCAATTGTCTTTGTTCTCTACACATACACCAACCCAAGCAATTGGGAATATGCCGTTGTTAGCATCCCTACCTACAACACAAAGTAGCTCACACTGGCAATAACTTTTCAGAAAACAACCATCAATGTTAATTATCCTTCTACACCCTCCCTTCAAACCTCTTTCACTCCATGAAAACATATGTAAATCCTACTAAAGTAATATTTACCATCGAGCATTCAATCAACAAAAACTTTTATAGTTGATCCTAGATTTGATCTTTTAATCTCCTCACCATATGACCATAACTTGGCATACTTATCTGCAATTATACCTTCAACTAGAGTAAAAGAAAATTTCTTGACCCCTTACACTGACTCATACTCACTTCAATGCCAAATGTGTTTTTCAACACCTCTCTAAGCACCCTAATACTCATCTTCTGATTGTTTACAAATTCTTGGTCGAAATGGCCCCTATCCATTTGTAGTTGACAATTAACCAAAATTTGAAATTCCTAGAACAGTTATAGTCAATTATCAGAGATTTGATCTGGAAAGAATTATCGTCACTTATCCATGATGCCAAAGCCTAAAAGTACAATTTCCATCACAACATTTAACTAACAACCTTATACAATTATTTTTTTAAACATAATTGATAACCATTAGCAACTACATAATTACATAACATGTGTTTGAGTTGTTTAGGATTCTCAAACCCCATACCTAACACAGGTTGTGGCTCCTTCCATGGTTGCCCTTTATTGAAAATATTTCGCAAATCAGTAGAAACATCAGCCTCATCATCTTCATTCTCCCCCATGTCAACATCAACAGGTTCACCTTCACCTATATTCTCCCTTATCTCACAATCTAGGTCATTATCTTTTTTGAAAAAATGAGGGTTGGCATTATCATCTGTATGCCATATCTCATCTGTTTCACCATCATCCTGGAGATCATCAACAACTTCTTCATGGATAGTATCAACCACTTCCTCTCTTTTTTCATCCAACCACTCTTGCATGTTAGTAGTGCCAAAATGGTCTACATAAAATGGGAGTTCAACACCATATTCACACAGAATGGATATAAAAGTGGAATAATCATTTTCATTCCTAATTAACCTCAAACCTTTTGGAAAATCGATATCAAGAAGACAATAAGAAAAGTTCTCACATTTTTCTCCTGTTAATCTTTCCATGAACTTGTTGCACTCGTTCTTACCCAGTCCTGCGAAATCGATTTCTCTAGTCTTTGCTTAGCACCATCATTGTATCATATTTGATACTTTTTAAGATTCCTTGAAATTACACATCGATAGTGATGTAGATAGCCATGGTTGAAGCAAGAAATTGGAGGATTAGAAAGCGATGCAGTAGACGTAGAGAGCTAATGAAGTGTTGTCGATAGCTCATTAAAAATGCTAATAAGACACAATCATCATTTACACGTGGAAATTTTAAATAATGTGGCACAAATGTTACCGGATGACCCCTTTAATTCTTAAAAAATTACAAAATCAACCCGACCAAAAACACTTTGTTCCCTCAAAAGACACAGAAAAAAACTTTATGGACCGAATAGAAAAAGTCATAATGCATAGTAGAGCCAATGTTCCATTTTCTCTAATTCTTTTATAGTTCATAAAAAGTTATTTCATTTTAATTTTTTTTCATATAAATGATATTTGTGGTATATGGTTAATCCATAATAAATAACATTTTTACCATTTACACTATGGTCACATCCCTACCCATAACTCTTGGGTTCAAAATTATGGTTTATAATTTGTTTTTCAAGGTAACTGTATTTTTATGTAGTGTAATATGTGTTTGCGGCTATGTTCACGACCAGGTTGGTGTGTATGGCCATCAACATGTTTATGACTGTAAACCTGTTCACGGTCGTGAACCCGTGTACGGCCCATGTTTCCTATAAATATAGGTGTAAGGGTTGAGGAGTGAAAAAGTAATGTACGGCTAGGAGAGAGAGAGAGAGAGAGAGAGAGAGAGAGAGAGAGAGAGAAAGCAGCTTATGTGTGTGTATGTGTGACTCTCATGTAAATGAGCATCATTCCATTCATCAATACATTGAATATTTTGATCTGGCATCATCCGTTTGATTGGGATTTCGCACCATCAAACAGATCTGATTTATACACAAGCAGATTGGGGACTTACAAGTGGTATCAGAGCCAAACCGGTGTTAATATGGATCTTCGTGTGTACGACCATACTTATTTAATCATTTTTTAGGATAATTCAAGATTACTAATTGGACATCTACTTTTAATCAACATTCAAAGCCATTGGATCAGAATTAACTTGGAATTCAAGTGTTTTTGGTGTGTATGGTTGAAATTAGTTGAAGAGTGTACGGTCGGACTCGCTTTGTACGACCGTAAACCATTCAAGATCATTGGCCGTAAAAACCTTGATTGTGTACGGTTGACGTGTACAGCTGTAGTTCTTTGTACGACCGTAATCCCCTATATGGCCATAATCCTTGTGCGGCCTTGAACTCCTTAAGTTGTTAACCTGTTTGTTTAATCTATATATATATATATATATATATATATATATATATATATATATATATATATATATATATATATATATATATATATATATATATATATATAGAAACTTCAAAAACCAAAAAAATGGATTCTCAAATCTCATCAGTTCATCAAGAATTGGGTACCATCATGGGAACCACCACTCGAATTTCTCGTTTACTGTCCGCAGAAGGATTTCTAGAATGGAAGTATCGAATTGAAAAATACATTAAAATGAAAGACTTCAAAATTTGGAGAAACATTTTATAAGGAGCAATTCGTATCACCACAACAGTTGAAGATGGAACAATCATTGACAAGAAAATTGAAAACTACAATAGCATTATCCCCAGAGAGTGTACAAGGTTTTAGAGAATACACTTCAGCAAAGGCTCTGTGGGATGCTTTGATCGATGTATAGGAAGGGAATGAGGATATGAAACAAAGCCATCAAGACATGCTGAGACAGAAATTCAATATGTTAATCACATTCTTTGAGAAACTTTGGAAGTTAAATTGCAACGCTTTATCACACTCACCAATGAAATGAGTTCCGTTGGGGTTTCAGTGCCAAGATCAGAGGTCAACAAGAAGTTGCTTAATTCTCTCCCAAAGACATGGGATGTGAATGTTGCTGTCATCAAGAAAACCAAGAATCTTAATCTACTTAGTTTGGCTGAACTCATGGCCATCATTAAAGCTTGTAATTAGGATGACAAACAAAGAGAGATTAACCATGTTAACTCATATTCTTCCGCCAATCTCAGTATTCAATCAAACTATGCTTTCTCATCCTTTACTAATCCTCAAGTTCCACCTTTTGCTACTCCTCAGTCATCATTTATCACTCCTCGGTCATCCTGTGTTGCTCAATCATCATTTGCTGCTCCCCAACCTTATCCCCAAGTTGCTTCATCTTCAAAGATAAGTGTTCCAGTTTCTGCTCATATTCCTGCTTCCAAAGAAAATGAAGAGAACTTGGCTCTTGCAACAGGTTTGGTTAACTGTTATAATGATTTTGTGGCAGGTGAACTGCCTCCTTAGTTGTCATTTTTTGATTTGGATCAAATTCATCCTAAAGATGTGAAGGAAATGGATATAACCTGACAAATTGTTATGGTTGTATTCCGTGCAAAACAGTTCTCCAAGAAGATTGACAAGAATAACCGAGGAATGAATGCAGAGAAGAAAGTTGGATTTAGCAAAACTTAACCTCCTGGATGCATTTCCCGAAACTGTCCAAATCATGCATACACTTAGGGCAGGAAGTGGGATTCAGGAATACGCCACCAGGGGCACGAAGAAACAACTTCCCAGTGAAGAAAAAGACATGTTTTTACTGTGGAACAGCTGGACACATTGCCTGAAACTTTCCAAATCGCACATACATTCCCTACTATGCACAAGGCTAGCAGAACGCGCCAAGAGGGAGATTTTCCAAAAGAAGCCCTTCAAGGTCAAAATCTTGAAATGGTGACTACAATGACAACAAGGGCAAGAGTTCAAATCCCAGGGATAAGAAATAAACTCCCAAGGGCAAGAAGGGAATGCTTGCCCAGAAGTCAAGTTCAAGAGATGCTCCCATGAAGCCAAGACCGGTTAGGTCAAGGTCATCTCGGCATGCGACTACAAGTTCAAAATCAAGTGCTGAGGCACCCATCGGATCGAAAAAGAAATGGGTTAAACCCAACTATAGATAGGTACCAAAGGTTCAATCTCCCAAATCACCCAATGACAATAATATTTCTTCATCTTCTATTTGGGATAAAAAGGATATGTCATGGGAGAGAGTACCGTGCAAGGATGAAAAAGTCAACCCAGTTTCAAAATGGATTGGGCTCCAAAGACCAACTGATCCCATTCTGTGCTGGAGTAGCTATTAAGGCATATCATCAGACTTTGGTTTGTTAGTAGTGGTTGTTCTAGGAACATGATAGGAGGCATCTCTCAACTATACAACATTCATAACTTTGTTTGAGAGTATGTGTCCTTTGCAGGAAAGGAAGGAAGGAGAGGATCACACATGGGGTATGTGCTTAATGACATGAAGAATTTTCGGATCTGTTCTGAGATTATAAGTGTTGTTCTCAGACGTTCTAGATGCAAATTCAATCGGTGAATTACGGTTTGAGTTCTCTTCTCGATACTTCTGAGTTTATCTTAAACTATTTCGTTAGACAATTATTTTCTTTCTTATAGTTTTTCGTTAGTAGGTATTGTTTGGGAAGTGATATCAAGAGAGTGGTAATGGGCTGTCTAACCAATGTAAGGGACTGAATCTGAATTGTCTAGACTTTGTGTTCAATGTGCTGGTAGGCAAGTGTAGATTTATATATTATTGTTTGGATTGACCATACGATGCTCGGGTATATTAAGCAATGAGATAAACACGGGAACCTACGTGATACACCAAATTAATATGCATCTAAAACTGTGGCTTAACTTCTCCTTGATGTGCGGACTTATGTCCTTAATTCTGGTTCTGATAGGGCGACTGGGGGTTCTGGTAAAGTACGTTTTTAGGAAACTATTTTCTTGCTTTCTATCTGTCAGTCATATGTTGCTTCCTCTGCATGATTGGAAGAAATCCGACCTGGATTGCTATAACACCTGATTCTCGGTATGCATTTAATTTAAGCATTTCTGTATTTTCTCTGGAATCAATGAGTTGGTGGCCTAACTCGTCGAGTAGGGTCGCGATCCACATGCATTTTAAGTGACCTACTCGATGAGTTGGGAGACTGACTTAGAGAGTAGGTGTTGTTTGAGGAAAACCCTAAATCTGAGGGTTTGCACCCTATTTAAACGACTTAACTCATCCTATTCCATCCTTATCTCTCCTAAGAAGTTGTATATCAAAACCCTAACCATTTTTGTGTGATCTAAGGCCATTTTGGTGCTTTTGGGTGGTTTGTGAAGCTTGAAAGGAAGGAAGAAGGTTGGGAATTCGACTTGGGGCTTGTAGATCCAGATATCTTATTCCATCTTCAACACAATCAAGGTAATTGCCCCCTAATTTGGTCTTCCATTTGGTTGTTCATCTTTAGGACTTAGATTTTGGGTGCATTTAGGGTTTCCCAAGCCATTTTCAGATTTGTGAAGTGATTCACGGGGTTCTACTTTCAGATATGAGTTATTGGAAGGGTCTCATGGCATAAAGATGCCATTTTTATGGCCATGAGAGCCCCATGCACATTGTAGAGCACCTTTTATGGATTCTTGAGCCAAAAACCTCATGCATGTGCACCAAGTTTGGAACTTTACGTTTAAAACGGACATTAAAAGGCCAGATCTATGGTTTTGATGTGTTAAGACCCATTGAAACTGGCTGTATAGTAAGGGTCAAGCAGGGACTCGACAAGTTGTTCTTGGAACTCGACGAGTCAGTGTATCTTAACCACCAAATCCAGTCTGGGGGTGGGCCAGTTGTTTTGAAAGGGAGTCACGTAGATGCTTAGACACATAAAGGGACGTGGGAATCATGGGACTCAGCGAGTGTATGAATAGACTCGATGAGTCCAAGGCAATCTCCCAATAGTTGAAGATAGACTCGACGAGTTGTTCGTATAATTTGGCGAATCATAGACTGGACACATTTCTATAAGGGAGATGAACTCGCCGAGTTGTAAGAAGAACTCGACGAG